CAAGACGCAGACCCTCTCCACGCAGGTCCTGAGGGCGCCCCCATCGCCGCGGCGTCCTGGGCAGGAGAGGAGAGAGTCACTCACCCTTCCCTCCTCCTCGGGCGTCTGTCAGTCGTGCGGCCCCATCGTGACCATTCTAACCGGTCGACATTATCAGCTCGACTGCTCAAGAAGCAGGTGGGTTTGTTTTCGTTTTGTTTTTTCTTAAATATATTTTTATTGACGTCAGAGAGGAAGGGAGAGGGAGAGACAAACAGCCATGATGAGAGAGAATCATGGATCGGCTGCCTCCTGCACCCCCCACTGGGGATGGAGCCCACAACCTGGGCCTGTGCCCTTGACCGGAATCGAACCTGGGACCCTTCAGTCCGCAGGCCGACGCTCTATCCGCTGAGCCACACCAGCCGCCTAGGGCAGGTGGGGTGTTTGTAAGGACTGAGCTTTTCAGGCGGAAGCACTGGATGTTGAGTGGGGATCAGTCACACGCTTCCCATGTGGGTGATTAATGTCGTGAAGCAGCATTGGGGGGTGTGGTTAATAAGTCAGACGAGGAGTGAAGAGGTGCCACAGCCCCTTTAACTACGAGATCCCGACGAGAACTGCCCCTCCCGCCGGAGCACATACCTCTCAGGGCAGAAACAACAGCTTCAATGGTTTGCTCCAAGCAGCGCGTTAAATTCAGTATTTCCGGGGCGCGATCAGCGGTCTCCCTCAGGGCTCCGCCTCCGGGAGGTTCTCCCTGCGCTCTCGTGCGGGGGCTTGTCTGTGGGAATGAAGCCCGTGTTGGTGAGAACAGGGATGAGCCCCGTTTCCTCCCCTCCCCCCCCAGCAAGACCAACCCGGTGAGAACAGGTGCCGTTCCCGAAGGAGGAAGAATTCTCATCGCATTTTAAACCCAAGTCCAATCGCCCTGTTACAGGAAAACGGAATAAAACAATAGAACCACTGCCACCCAACGTCACAAAAGGTGAATGTATAAAATCCTTAAGAGTTTAATTTTGTTTTATTTAAATAAAAGTCAAGCCACAAACACGTCTCTCTTTTCACACACTGATTATGCGTACCCCTGGTTTATACTCTCCATTCACCCATGGCGTGAACATGCCTAGTTTATATATTTCTGCTCACGTGTGACACAGGAGCAACATACTTTGCCTGGCTCCCCTGTGCCTTCGCCTCCGAGCACACGGATCGGGAAACACAGGTTTACAGCCTATAACGACTCTCCAAGCAAAGCTGAGCCCTGGGCGGCCCGACACAGAGCTCACGCCTGCGGGCCCACGTCCACGCCACGCTCACCCGCCACGGAGCTGACATCACCACACCGGGTGACACGCCAGCGTGGGGTCACCCGGCGAAGAGTCGGAACGGAAATCGGCGTGACCGACGGGAACCCGGGGGGACGACACACACACACACACACACACACGACAACGACACAGAGAAGCCACGGAGCCCGCGCTTACGGTTCTCCACTCGGCAAAGATGGTTTCCAGGCACCCGATCAGCGCCTCGGCCTTTGCGCGCAGCTGCTGGGCCACCTGGAGGGAGAGGTCAGGCTGTGTGTTATGCACGCGATTCTCCAGAAGCAGGAACCCCGAGGGCTCCAGGGACCAGGCCGGAGAGGCGGTCCGGCCGGGAGGTCTGAGACCAGCCCGGTGACCGGGACTACAATTCAGCGGCGAGAGCAGCCGGAGCCCCAGCCCCCTGACTGGCTCCGCAGGAGAGCGGGAGGCGGAGACGGTCTAACAAGCGTTAGGACAAGATCCCAGGACAGACGCGTCTCTGGAACTCGGGACTTGACCTTCCATCCCCCGAACCCTCCGTTCCCCGTTGTGACCTCAGCAAGGACACCGGTGCATAAACAATCACCCACGAAACCCACGGAGGTGACGTGCTGGGCTCGGGCCCCGAGCGGACGGAACAGACCACCCGGCTCGGGCGCTGGACAGGACCAGCCCAGGGACCCCACCTCGCCAAGTGGGGGGCTCAGGATGCCGAGCTCGCACCCTGAGCCCCAGGTGTCATCGCACGGCAGGGCAGAGCCGGCGTCAGAGGACCGAGCAACGTCAGCGAGTGCTGAGAGGGACCCCAGGGGTGAACACGGGCCCCGGTCGCCCCAGCCCCCTCGGGCGCCCCGAGACGGCACGGGTCAGGCTCTGATGTCAGGGCCGAGGGCGAGGAGGCGGATTTCGGGAAGTCGCACGAGTCCTCGTTGCTTCTGTGTCTCGTGTGAGATAATCCATGTGAACCCGGCAAACATCTCGCTGAGGGCAGCGATCGATGCACCCATATGGGGCCGTTTGTGCTCGTTAAGTGGAAAAGCAGAGACCAAAGCAAAGGGGAGAGGAGCCAAAAAGTGACCAGCAGGTGTCGCTGCCGCTCCACCGGCCGAGGGTCCACCCGCGGGATTCCGCCCGGACCAGCCCAGCATTGACCAGAGGCCACAGGGACGAGTGCTCCCAGCAGCCTTTCAACAGAACACAGTCGAACACATTCAAACACATGGGTGTGTAACCATCTAATTCATGGAGTTACACACACACACACACACACACACACACACACACACACAAGTCAATGTGGCCCGGCCGGCGTGGCTCAGTGCGGGGCCGTTTGTGCTCGTAAGTGGAAAAGCAGAGACCGAAGCAAAGGGGAGAGGAGCCAGAAAGTGACCAGCAGGTGTCGCTGCCGCTCCACCGGCAGAGGGTCCACCCGCGGGATTCCGCCCGGACCAGCCCAGCATTGACCAGAGTCCCACAGGGACCCGTGCTCCCAGCAGCCTTTCAACAGAACACAGTCGAACACATTCAAACACATGGGTGTGTAACCATCTAATTCATGGAGTTACACACACACACACACACACACACACACACACACACACACAAGTCAATGTGGCCCGGCCGGCGTGGCTCAGTGGCTGAGCGTCGACCTATGAACCAGGAGGTCACGGTTCGATTCCCCGTCAGGGCACAGGCCCGGGTTGTGGGCTCGATCCCCAGTGGGGGGCGTGCAGGAGGCAGCCGGTCCATGATTCTCTCTCGTCATTGATGTTCCTCTCTCTCTCGCTCTCCCTTCCTCTCTGACATCAATAAAAATATATTTTTAAAAAACCAACTTGAGCCACCGTCTGGGACCCCCTAGAACCTTTCATCCCGTTACCTCGCTCTGGGGGTGCTGCCCTGTGAGCTCGCGCCGCAGCTCTTCCGCCCGCTCGAGTCCGGAGTCGATGAGAAGCCTCACCCCCGCGCCGACTCCGTCCCACAGGGCGTCCAGGAGATCCTCCTGGAAAAGCGCTGAGGCGTTAACTGACAAACTCAGGTTTTAGATTTTTTAAAAATAATCAAGTAACTATTGTCATATCTCCTGCTTATTGCAGGAATACATTCCGAGTTCATTCCATTCAACGGAAGCTGGACCCAACTAGCAGCCCATCGGGAAGCAAACGGGCAGGTCGGTCACTGAGCATCAGACACCAGCTGGGGACACAATGTTGTCCGAGCAGAGGGACCCCGATACTGTGTCCACAGCCAGAGGGACCCCGATACTGTGTCCACAGCCAGAGGGACCCCGATACTGTGTGTCCACAGCCAGAGGGGTCCCGATACTGTGTGTCCACAGCCAGGGCCTGAGCCAGCAGACACAGATGCCCTAGAACCAGAGTCCTCCCGGCTGACCGGCTGCGCGGCCCTCACGGTAACCGCTGTCCCTAACGAAAGGACCTAGAGGTGCAGGGAGGACTCAGCAGCCTGCAGGTGGCACGCTCACCAGCGTAGACGGAAACCCCCCAGCTCTCCTCCCACACGACTCAGCACAGGCCGTTCTATCGTGAGAACCGTCACGCTCAGCCATGCTGGGCCAGGAGCCTCTCCCGCCCGGGTGCGGCCTCCTGGAGCTGTCGCCCCTCCCCTGCGCGC